AAGAAGAAGAAAAATGAAAGAAGAAGAAAAAAAGAAGAAGGAAAAGAAAAAAAGAAAAAGGAAAAGAAAAATGAAAGAAGAAGAAAAAGACAAAGAAGAAGAAGAAGAAGAAGAAGAAGAAGAAGAAGAAGAATAAGAAGAAGAAGAAGAAGAAGAAGAAGAAGAAGAAGAAGAAGAAGAAGAAGAAGAAGAAGAAGAAGAAGAAGAAGAAGAAGAGAAGAAGAAAGAAGAAGAAGAAGAAGAAGAAAGAAGAAGAAGAAGAAGAAGAAGAAGAAGAAGATGAAGAGGAAGAAGAAGAAGAAGAAGAAGAAGAAGAAGAAGAAGAAGAAGAAGAAGAAGAAGAAGAAGAAGAAGAAGAAGAAGAAGAAGAAGAAACAGAAAAGAAGAAGAAGAAGAAGAAGAAGAATAAGAAGAAGAAGAAGAAGAAGGAGGAGGAGAAGAAGAAGAAGAAGAAGAAGAAGAAGAAGAAGAAGAAGAAGAAGAAGAAGAAGAAGAAGAAGAAGAAGAAGAAGAAGAAGAAGAAGAAGAAGAAGAAGAAGAAGAAAAGAAGAAGAAGAAGAAGAAAAAGAAGAAGAAGAAGAAGAAAATGAAATGACTCATCGAATTGTTTGTTTGTTTGTTTGGTGGCTGTACAATGCATCTGATTTGTTGGCCCGATGTAAACTGACACATATATCAGTCTTAAATGACAACACCAGTGGGTATCAGGCTTGAGTTGTCAACTGCTTCCTTTCATCTTCTTTGGTGACTGCCACAGCCGTCAATCAGCTCCTCTTGTTAACCTGACAGACTCCCAGACATGTTCACCTAGTTTGTTCGCCCTCGCTGTATTGTCATATTTCTTGATGTCTAACTTTATACGGTCGACTTGGGTACCAGGTAACGTCCTGGGAAGTAAAGGCCTTTTTGTAGTTGTTTTGTGCCGTTAAACGCGGAGTCTGAGATTTACTTCTGTTAGACTTATTCACACCCGAAATCCGCTTTGATATTTCCAACCTTCACAGTTGGTTTCATATGCACCAGGCTTTCTGCACCACCCATGCTGCACCACCCATCTTTTATTTTAACATCCTCTCCCCCCCCCCCCCTTTTTTTCCCCCCTCTTTTCTGCCTTAAAAATTGAGTTTTAAAGAAACAAAAAGCTTTTTCCTCTATACCTTTTCCCCCCACTCCCCCTCCCCTTTTTTCATTTACCAGTAAACCTACTTCGAGTTCCTAGGTCCTATGTGAGCTAATGAATCCACCTTCTTGACCAGCTTCAACTCCGCAACCCATTGGCTTCTGGCAAAGTTTAACCGCGGAACTAAATTTCCTAAATAAGTTCCTTTGAGTGACACATGTGAAAGTCTGAACCAAGAATCGCTGATTGGGGTTATTAACGCTACATTGAAGACATCAGTTAGGAGGTATCGGAGCCATGTGGGTAGTGTAATCGTGCAGTTTGGCTACTAATGAAATCGCTGAGCGGTGTAAGAAATCTTTGAATGAAGTTGATGATCTCCTTTCCTGGCATTAGAGGAGGAGTAGTTGGAAGAGAAGAAGAAGAAGAGGCAGCAACATTAGGAGGAGAAGAACAAGAAAGAGAAGAAGGGGGAGAAAAAGAAGATTAAAGAAGGAGATGGATAAGAGGTGGAGGAGAAGAACAAGAACAAGAAAAAGAAGAAGAAGCAGAAGCAGAAGAAGAAAAAGAAGAAAAAGGAAGTAGAAGTAGAAAGTAGAAGTAGAAGAAGAAGTAGAAGAAGAAGTAATTGTTAAAGTTAAAGTCGGAAGGACCGATTTTATTGCACCAGGTATTATCTCGCAGAACATCTAGTTGCCAGCGAAGTGTCCCACAAAGCATTAGCACCGTAGCTCCAGCAACGATCCCATGTGAATTATGTACTATCTGCACTCATGAAACGAGCACACGACCTGAGAACACGAAACAAATGGCATGGACATTTCGTCACGGGGATAACTCTCCCCCCCCCCCCCAAGATAATCTTGCTGACCTTTGATATAATATTTAAAGTCTGTTTTTCTCTTCCGCCTTTTAAGGGGCTGAGTGCTAGAGGTTCCGGGTTCCATCCCTGGTAAGGCTGGGATTTTGTTCACGTGGACTTAGTCTTCTAGTAATTCCCCCTGGTCTCTGTGTAGTGAGATCGGACGCCCGTGTGCATCTGTGCGCACGTAAAAAGATCCCTTGGCAGTTGGAACTCGAAAAAAGTAGACTAACGGCGCTGCCCTGAGAACATTTTGAGTTAAAAATCTACGCGAAGTATTTCGTGATCCTCGCCGGTGCTATAGAGTCGGTGCAATGTGAGGAGCTTCTTCAGATTCAGACTTGAGTTAGACAAAGAACGGAGCACTAAGGGGTTACTACCATGATGTTGATCCGTTGTTCAAACCTTAAACTTCAGCGGTTTGTCATAATGAAATTGTCCTGCCTTCACTGTCCATGAAGTTCACCCCATGTCTTCCTCATTCTTTTAACGTCACTCTCTAGCCCCCCTCAACCCCCACACTTCCTCTTTCCGTTTTTTTTCTGGTCTATCTTTATGTCGAGAGGCTGGGATCGGAAGGTCGTAGGTTCGCGTCCTGACAGGGCCAGCCTTTTTTTCGAAATTGACCTTGACTTCCAGGTCGCCCCAGCCTTGAATGTGTACCAGATGCAGTCCTGGGAAGTAATGGTGGCCGGAGTGATGCTGACTACATCACCCACCAAGTGCCGACTGGTCAAAAAAAACAACAACATAGGTCAAGCCCTATATTCCCAATACGTCCAAAGGTGTGGAGGAGGTTTCTTTATGTCCAGGTCCAATCGGATCATTCAACTAAGTTTACCCAGAAACCAAAACACTGGATAAAATGGATCGTCGCGGGCCGGAGGGCAGAGCCCCGGCATAGATCATTAACACAAAGCCACTGGTCGGTGATCCGCGGGCCAGTTTATAGGCCTCTGTTGCCAGATCTAGCGGCTACAGGGCTCCAGCTAAAACCCTATAGTGCGTTTCAGAAGTCCTGCCGAAATTTAAAAGTGTATAATTCAGTAACCGTTCGGGGATTGTTAAAATCTGGCAAGCGCCATCTTAATAATAACGTCCTTGTTGAATATTTATCTTTTTAAGGTAAACATATATTTCGTTTTCTTCTTCTTCTTCTTCTTCTTCTTCTTCTTCTTCTTCTTCTTCTTCTTCTTCTTCTTCTTCTTCTTCTTCTTTTTCTTCTTCTTCTTCTTCATCTTCTTCTTCTTCTTCTTCTTCTTCTTCTTCTTCTTCTTCTTCTTCTTCTTCTTCTTCTTCTTCTTCTTCTTCTTCTTCTTCTTCTTTTTCTTCTTCTTCTCTTCTCTTCTTCTTTTCTCTTCTTCTTCTTCTTCTTCTTCTTCTTCTTCTCTCTTCTTCTTCTTCTTCTTCTTCTTCTTCTTCTTCTTCTTCTTCTTCGTCTTCTTCTTCTTCTTTACGTCTTTTTTTACTGCTTCGGGTGTCGAGGGAGATATAAAGTCCTGCTCCGTGCTATTTTGGCTGCTTCGACCAAAGACGCATCGTGGTAATATAGAGTTTCTCTGATGTTATCCTTCCATGTTGTTCTTGGTCTGTCTCTGGCTTTACGCCCTTCTCTTTTGGTGTATGCCTTAAATGGTATAGCATCAGAAGGCATTCTCTCCAAGTGGGCAAACCAATTTGATTTGCTGTCTTCTTGTGTAATTTAGAATTGGTTCTGTGCCGACTTTATCTTGCATCCATCCTCATTTCTGATTTCATCTCTTCAGGTGACTCCTACAGTCTTATTTCCATGGTTACTCACTTTATTTTCTGGTTTGTTGTGAGTGACCATGTATGGCACTGGTAGCATAGGGCGGGAATGTTTATTCTTTGTAAAATATTTTTCTTTGTGCTGACTGGAATTGCCTTGTGCTGTATAAGGGGTGCTAGCTGTAATATTTCGTTTCCATTTGGCCTTTTTTGCGATTTTTACGAAACAAAAACAGACACCGATTCAAAGCAAACAATCAGCATGCAGTAACTTGAGTAAACTCAGTAAGGGGAACTTTTCAAAACATCAGACTGCACGCGTGTCATAAACGTTTCACTCTTAGCTGGTCGTCTTCACTATAAGTCTCCTGTGATATGCGGATTTTTCATTGAGTGAGGAATAGGCTATTGAAATAACCATTATGCATCACTGTACATGTTGACTGATTTCTAAACGATCTCCACACATGTGTCACTTACTGTATATTTTATTTTATAGACGTACAGAAATTATGAGTCAAAAAAACAAAAAACAAAAAATAACTTCGCCACTTTAAGAAAACAGAAACATCTATGCAATTGTAAATTTTAGAATCATAAGGGCAAGGGAAATCTAAGACAAATGCAAAAATGCATGTTGATCCGTACAGTATTTTCGAGACATTTGTTAAAGTGTGGCGGCATGAGTTTTGTAACACACTATAGTTATATTGTTCTTGTGTGATATGTTTCTTTGGCGTAAATATCGCTGCAGACGACAGCTCCACACGCTGCTCACCGTTTCCTCGCCACCATGAACATCCTGTGGCTGACACTAACCCGCCGAACTATTTATCAGGTCCTGGTTTTTGACGGCAACCCCATGAAAACATTACAACCAATTAATTTAAACACGGACAATTTCAAAAAGAAATCTTTAAAAAAAAAAAAAAAAGACGACAAACGAAACTGATTCACATATGTCAATAATAAATTGTTAAAATATTTATCTATTTAAAAAAAAAAAAAGTTTGTTTTGAAAGGGAGAACTAAATAAACAACTGAAATCAGTGTGAAATTTACTTTTTCTTTCTCTATTTCAGTTACAACGATTTAAATATTATAATTATGGCACACGTGTGCTCTCTTCAGTAACTGTGTAATTTTTCTTTTTTTTTTATTATTTTTTTTTTTTTTTTTATTTTTTTTTTTTTTTTTTTTTTTTTTTTTATTATTTTTTAATTAAAGTTCTCTTCACTTAACCTGTCATGTAATCTCTCCCTCCTACAGCCCTCCTGAGTGCTGCAATCTTCGGTAACGTCTCGTCTATCATGTTGCGAGTGTACCAAGGATCCGACGAGTATCACGAGAAGGTGCAGAGCGTCAAGGAATTCGTCAACTTCCATCACATTCCCAAGACATTGGCCAGTCGACTGCAGGAGTCGTTCCAGCACGCATGGACCTACACAAATGGCATAGATATGAATAATGTAAGTATTTCCAGTTGATTCTATGTGAAAACATTTACTCAGGGTAACGATGTGGCGCGATGTCTGTCGTGCAGTGTTGTGGTGCCCGTATGCGATTAAAATTGATCGCGCGGGCAACCGCTGATCTGTTGGCGACTTCTGCTACCATCAATGATGAACTGCACTTCTAATACTGTGATAAACATTCTGTGTGTTTTTCGTTGGCACAGGAGCGGAGCACAGATGGAGCAACCCGTTTGCTATGAAGCTGAAACTAAGACTACCAGACTACCAGACAACGATGTGGTTTCTGAGAAGAGTGTAAAGAATGTCATGGAAGGATTGGAAAACAAACGAAGCAGTCAACGTCGAGACATATGTTAGAACAATTAAACGTAGACAGGCAAGGAACCAATAGTCTGCATTAAAAAATATCGTATCTGTGAAACGAATGTACACGCAAAACTCGGGTTCTGAAACAAGACTAAAGTCCAGAGCTGGATGAATAACTAGAACTTTTGTTCCGTAGTTTACATCTGGTGAACGCGTCAAGTCAATTTTTGAATGTTTTGAGAAGGAAAGGACATGAGAACTTGGGAACAACTGGCATTATTGATGGGGCGACGTTAAAGGGAAGGCAAGGAGATAAATATTTGGATGGCCTGGACAGACCAACACCGTCTCGACACTTTTCTCTCTTTCCACAAAGTTAGAATAAGTTTATCTGTACCTAGAAGGAAACATCCTTTCAAGGGAGGACAACCCCACATATTTAGGAGTAAAATTAGACGAAAGACTAACCTGGGGCCCCCACATTAAATACACCTAAAGGAAAGCTACCCTACGGCTCAGACGTATAGAGAAACTTACTGGAACAAGCTGGGGTACCGAGACCAACACTGTACGACAAGTATACACAAGATACGTACGACAGAAACTGTGATATGGCGTGAGTGCATGCAGCCAGATAAAATTTAAACAAACTGTCACAATACAGAAGCATAATAATTAATGAGCTGGAGGCAACTTCTGGCCTCCAAAGGATGCTTCGAAAGGAAGAACTGGTGCTAATCCTAACAGAAAAATTTAAGCGTATGAACAACAACCCCATGCACATAATAGCAAACAGCTTAACTATAAACTGAAAAGACAAAGCTATCACTATCACAATTTTACAAAAAAAAAAAAAAAAAAAAAAAAAAAAAAAAAATACAGTAACATCCTTTCTAAAGATTCTTCAACCTGGGAAATTATCTAGGTATGCAGCATAGACTAAAGCCTAACTATACGTTCACAACAACAATCCCAGGCATAGACACAAAGGCTGAAGAATGTAACCTAGTATTGCTTGCAAAAACCATTGAATATATCTACAACTCTTACCAAAATGTAAATGGACACACGTAAACACCGATGGATTACTGAAGGTAACAAACAAACAAAGGGAGGAGCTGGATCTGTCATCATGCTGTAAGATAGCCACAGTGGAAACGTCATGGGCCTTGAGAAACTCTGAACAAACTTCAGAGCAGCGAGCAATAAATGATGCAACCAAAGTGCTTGAAGAAAGAAACATTAAACACAGCAACATTGTTTTCCTGTATGGCTGCATGTGAGTCCTCCATGCGACTCAGGGGGATCCACGAGACAACATCGAGAGAAAACTGACCTGCCAGTTAAACAGACTCTCAGAAAACAATCAAATCGTTCGTCAGTGGACCTGTACTAGGAAATGAAGTAGCGGACAGACTTGCACAAAATGGAACAAATGAGAAACAGCACGCCCGCTAATTTTCAAAACCATAAAATCAAAACTCTTATGAAGGGAAAGTACAAGGAGTTTTGGAGAGAACAAACCAATATATAGTAAGCATCCATTAGACCCCCATCAGAAGACTAACAGAAAGCAACATACAACAATTTTATGTCAACGAATAGGACACTGCAGACTCAACTACCACATGCATAAAATAAAGGACTGTACAATCCCTACAGTGTGCCTGTCACACAGGTCCGCAAACAAATGAGCACATTCTGCAGACCTGCCCACTCTACCTACAACTTCGAAAAGACACCTGGCCTCAAGAGCAAAGTGTGCACATCAAGCTATGAGGAACCATGAAGGATATGTTGCTGACATGCGAGTTCACAGAGGTCAACCGCCTGATGGTCTGATCTGAGCATTCGAAACCGAACACTAATGCAAAGAAGCAGAAGAAGAAGAAGAAGAAGAAGAAGAAGAAGAAGAAGAAGAAGAAGAAGAAGAAGAAGAAGAAGAAGAAGAAGAAGAAGAAGAAGAAGAAGAAGAAGAAGAAGAAGAAGAAGAAGAAGGTCTGACCAGATGGATAGAGGAATTGAGGAAGAGGAGGATGGGGAATTGAGATCAAAAGATAGGAGAAACCTTCTTTGTGGAGAAACGTGAAGACAGAACAGCAACAGCAGAAAAAGGAGGAGCAGAGGACAATAATGGTAATGATGAAGAAGAATAAGTACATATAATATCAGCAGTAGTAGCAGTTGTAGTGGCAGTAGCAGGAGTAGTAGTAACTGCAGCAGCAGCCGTAGTAGTTGTAGCAGTTGTAGTAGCAGCAGCATTTGTAGTAGTAGCAGCAGTAGTAGTAGTAGTAGTAGTAGTAGTAGTAGTAGTAGTAGTAGTAGTAGTAGTAGTAGTAGTAGTAGTAGTAGTAGTAGTAGTAGTAGTAGTAGTAGTAGTAGTAGTAGGGGTGGTGTTGGTAGTGATGGTAGTAGTAGTAGTAGTAGAAAGAATAGTAGAAGACGAAAAAAAGAGGAATAGGTGAAAAAGGAAGAGGCAGAAAAGGAGTGGTAGAAGAAGACTCTCACTCCAAGAGCACGCAATAACGAAGACATTATTTTCTTATTCTTGTTATTCATTTTTTTCTTTCTTGTCGTTTGTTCACGAGTATAATCAGCCGTTTTCTGGAACAGTTCCTTTATATGTGCCTACTTATTCGTGTTTCGAAGCCAATTAGTGCTGCAGACCAGATATGCACGCAAACAAACTAAAGCAGCGGTTCTGAATCTGTGGATCGCGACCATTTTTTTTTTTTTTCGAGTCGAACGACCATTTCACAAGGGTTTCATAAGACCAACGGAAAACATATATTTATTGAAGTTATGAAGTAGCAACGAAAATATGTGTATGGTTGAGGGTCACCACGGCACGAGTAAGTGTATTAAAGGGTCGTAACATTAGGAAGGTTAAGAACCACTGAACTAAAGCAACACATGGGATAGTTTGGCCATCTGACTCTCATCTACTTCTTAGATTTCACGACTGTATAAAAGCTGCGTAAAATTCTAACTGTTCCTCCATGTATGGCCTTTGATCTCGTTACAGAACTTGAAACATGTGGTCATATCCTTTGTACAGATCTGTCTGATTTGTGTGCGCACTGTTGGTGCTTCGATTCCCAGGCAGATATATGGTGACTTCGAAGGAAACACCCATAAAAGTCACCTAGGGGGCAGTCTATCTCCCCTCCACCTTCGCACTGGGACCTCAGAACCCACACGGAAAGACCATCTGGGAAAGTGCCCTGGTACCAACTGTCACAAAGAACCACGCTAAAGAAATATAACGTACACAAGCAAAAGGACGAACACGCTGAATATGGAACGACGGCATCAAGAACAGCCTCCAAGAAATGAAGATCAACTTGTGCAGCGTTCTAGAAAGAGTAAAAAAAAAAAATCCTGACATTCCCCCTGCCCCAAAACTTCTATGAGGTGATTGGAGGACGCAAAAGAGAAGTGCTTATCCAAGAAAGAAGTGGGAGAGAGATAGAAAGGAAGATATATACAAGAAAACATTACAAGAGGCCTCTACTTCTCCAGAGTAATGGCGTCTCCAGGATAATCACGGAAACCTGTTTAAGTGAATGAATAAATGAAACAAATATTTGGTTTTCCTTTCAGTCCTGTCTATTCCCCCAATCCTCTTCTTTACTCCTCGCTATTATTTTCGTTTAAAAAAACCAGAACGGTTTCTGGTCTGTCTCGGCCCGGAAATGATACTCCATGCTTGCCGTCTGCCTAAGCGGCCCTCATTAGGGCGCGAAGTAGCCACTTACTGGTCTCTTCTTTCACGCTGGGAGTCAGCAGAGCTGGTAATTGCTCTGGAAGTACGTGGGAGGGGTTGATCTTTTGACCAGTTATCTTCTCTTTTATGTTTCTTCTGCGGTTCGTCTGCGCGTGTGCGTGTTTGGTCTGTTCTTATATGTGTGTGTGAATGTGTTTTGTAAGGAAGAGTTCAAAGAGGCCGGCAGACAGCCACTTACACATAGAAATAGACGGATGTTCAAAATGATGGACAAAGACATTTAGAAAGACAGTGATGATCAGAGAAATATTGACGTTCTGACAGACAGTGGTGATTAGATAGACAGTAATCGTCAGACAGACAGACAGTGACGGTAAAAACAGACAGAGAATGACGGTCAGAGTGGTAGGCAGTGATGGTCAGACAAGTAGTCAGTGACATTCAGACAGACAGACAGTGATGGTCAAACATACAGTGTCACTCAGACAGACAGTGTCAGCCAGACAAGTAGTCAGTGACACTCAGACAGACAGTGACAGTCAGACAGACAGTGACAGACATACAGTGACTCTCAGACAGGTAACATTGATGGATAGACAGACAGTGACGGTCAGAATTACGTTTGAAGGTCGCACAGGCAGTGACGATCAGACAGTAACGGTCAGACATACCATGGCGGTCGCATAGACAGTGACGGCTAAGCAGACCGACAGTAACGGTCAGACAGGTAGACAGTGATGGTTAGACAGAGAGACACTTACGATCAGAGAGACCGTGATGGTCACTCGGCAAAATCTGGGACAGTGTCCGTGTTTGTGCTGTGTACACGGAGGGTCTTATGTGCTCTTTTAAACACTATGGTCATCATTTACAGGCAGCAATGCTACTTCTGCCTCGACAGGTCGATCCGGCCTAAAATATGTCTCAGGTAATAATTTAGGAATTAAAGGCAGCCGGCGTGGTGATGACCACATTACCCACCGTGTGCCCAGTGGTCTCTCAAATTTGAGTTTAAAATCATATGGCCAGTGTCATAAATAAAATATGTCCCGTAAATTATTTTACTTTTCTGCCTCAGGTCAAAATGACGAATAGGCTGGTTTACTGTTTTTTGTCGTAGAAAAAGTTGTTGCTTCAGAAAATAGTTAGCCGAAATATTTTTTCCTCCATATGTAGGCTGAACGATATATATATATATATATATATATATATATATATATATATATATATATATATATATATATATATATATATATATATATATATATATATATATATATATATATATATATATATATATATATATATATATATATAGTTCCGTTGTCCGGCTACTAAGTTGAGCGCATGTCGCGACACCGTGAGCTGCGAATTTCCTCTGGAATGCTCTTTGACAATGTCAAACGTGGATTGTGTTGTGTACTGCAGATTCAGAAAATGGCGATTGGTCTGTTGCCAGACAACTGGTGGTGCCTTATGTAAATTAATTCGTGTACAACTGCGCATTTATTGACACAGGAACGGAGCAGCTATGGGAGGGACCCATTGCTGTAAAAATGCAACTGCGATTACCTGATTACCCATTGGCTCGTCGGTGGACGACTTCGTCGCCGGTTGGGACAGTATTTGAGTCTGTCTTCTCTAATCGCATTACCACTGCAGGATTCATTTTCAGGGCTCTTGGTGGCAAGCAGTGTTAAGCCATTTTTTATGGCACACATAACATAGTCACAATTATAACCTAAAGTTCTCCCTTTGGTGATGCTGATGGAGCGTAACGATTTTTTTTCCTTATTATCAGCACACTGAATCTATATTCTGTATCGAACGTACTGAGTTTCATTTGTGTGTTTTTACCTGTTTCTTCTCTGGCGAAGGTTCTCAAAGGGTTTCCAGAGTGCTTACAAGCTGACATTTGTCTACACCTCAACAGAAACCTACTGCAGAACTGCAACGCTTTCAAAGGTGCCAGTCCTGGTAAGAGGCAATTGTTGGAAAATGTTTAATAAACTATGTTGACTCACCTTCGTCTCGTCCATACAAAGTGTCTGATTAAGCGCAGCAGGAGATACTGGGGCCTGGCGTCATGACCCAGGTTGGCCCACCTTACGAGATTGTTTAGGATGGTAACGGGCCGAAACAATTGTCCACGGAGGATCTTCTACTTATGACCGAAGGACTCCTGCAGTGTATGCTCCCCTGCGGAGTTTTCATATTTATATTGTATATATGAGCTCGTTTCGGAAAATTGAAACCGGTTTCCAGCGCGCATAGTGGTTTGCATTGCTTGATAAGACTCAGATCAGATGGATTTGCTGTCCAGGATGTTTGAGTTTGCGGTGTATCGAGTATGTTGATAGATGGGCTGTTGTCGCTCCTCGGAGTAATGAGCTACGTTATAATAAAGCGGCCGTGGTGTAGGCTCTCAGGCATCAATGTAGGCTACAATCAGATTAACTTGACCGAGGGGGAGCACGGAGCATTTCTGGGAATGTTCTGAGAACGGTGATGATAGTTGTTGATTCACTGAATGATTCATTCATTCTTTCATATCATAAGTTTAATTCCAGACTCTCACAACAACGAAGGACAGAATTAAATCGTGATTCAAATTTGACTCTGGATGCATTCCAAAGGACTTCTAAACATCGTTCCTCAAGATAATCTTCTTCTTTTCCTCTCTTCGACTTTGGATCTCCGTGAAGTGTCGGGGGGTCGGGGGGAGATGTAAAGTTCGTTGATGAGCTCTGTCAAGAGCACTATTAAGATTGATATTCATGTCTGTAAGACTGTTCTTATCGCCATTACTCATCTTTTCCGAGGTCTTCGGCTCGCTCTATACCCGTTGTAACGTTTCAGTGTGGCTCGCTGTGGCGGATAGTACCAGGCCATCCTTGTTAGGTGTCCAAACCACTTCATTTGTTGTTCTTTGATGACCTGTAAGACTGGCTTTATTGCTCGCATTCGTCTGATTTCGTGATTTCGTATTCTGTATTTTCTTAAAACTCATGCTGCTCTTCTAAAGTATTTCATCTCTGTTTTCACAATTTTGAGTTCATTAGAGGATGTAAGTGTCCACGTTTGACACTGATAGCAAAGTATTATTCATCAAGATAATACAAAGTGGAAATCAGAATAAAATAAACATTGATGTTTCTGAAGAACAGTTTGGGTTCTGTAAAAGTGGTAGCACAAGGAAAGCCATAATTCTTCTAAGGATATCGACCTTAAAATGTATACATGTAGAACTTAGGAACATAATATTTATGCATGTTTGTAGACCATAAAAAGCTTTTGACAGGGTGCAGCATCACAAATTAATTTCACGGCTTTAGAGTTAACGATTAGAGGAAACGGATATCATAATTATTAGTCATCTTTGCTGGGAACAAACTGCAATTGTTAATTGCAACATCTACTACAAAGTATTTCAAGATCATCGCCGGTGCTAGGGAGTTCATGCACTGTGCTGAGATTCTACGGAGTCAGAGTTCAGTTAGCAGTGGAACGGAGCGCTTTTGGGTTACTACTCTTGTGCCATGATGTTGATTTGTCGTCTGAACTTAAACCTCATCTTAACCATACCAGCCTGTTACAGAAAAATAATGAGCAATTTGATCCATGGTAGTGACACAGCGTTACTAGCAGACAGTGACTAGGAGTTACAGGCGTTATGGAGCAAAGTAAAGGCCGATTGTAGACATTAGTTTTAAACATACACACTCACACACACAATATAATCGCTTGTAGATAACTAGGGAAGGAACTGCCAACATTGAACATCACAGTAAACGAAGAGATAAGAGAACAATAGCAAGTTTGTCCATTAACAGATAAAGGTGGAAGTGAAATAGAAACCAGTAAAAGAATAAGAATGACTAACAGCATCGTGAGCTAGATTGCAACAGCTAGCAAGAAAGACAGCACATTTTATAAATGAGAATCGTCAAATGATATGTAAACTAAGACCTGCTGTATGGTGCAGAAGCGAACAGGCAGACAGAAAAGGAAACTGTCTCTGAAGATGTGGGTGTATTCAGAAATATATCGTGTCTCATGGAAACAATAACAATCAAATACCGAGGTTCTGAAAAGAGGGAATTAAAAGAGTTGCTAAAATAAAAATTACGATACAACTGAACTATGTTGACATGAGAACATGAAGTTCAGGACGAAAGACAACATCAGAGAAACCCTACGATAGTACAGTGTAGCAATTATCGAGGCGGTCGGGATAGACAGAAGCAGAACCGTATGTCTCTCTCGACACCCAGAGAGAACAGCAGGACACGACCCCAACAGGAACATCCTAGGGGATCGAACTGCCCAACCAGTTTTATCTAAAACCCTTGATTTACGGCCCCTGGAATTTACCGGGTGTATTTACTCTCCTGTCCCACGTGTCTCGTCAGTCTAATGACAAGACATCGACCTGGCTTATTCGAGAAACTAAGCTAAGTGATTTTGTGTATTTGTGTGGTATTGTTTGATTTATGTATGTGCTGATGAAGGCTCCAAAGCCGCAGCGTCCACGTTTTGTTTGTGTGTGTAATATTGTGAATTAATCAAGTAACAGAAAGTTTTGTGAACGGTACTCATAGAAAGAAGTAGAAAGAGAGAAGAATTATGTCCGTATTCCATAGTCGTGGATTTCAAGCTGTACGATAGACATGGCCAATGAGACACCTTTTTTTGGGGGTGCCTAGTTGACCATGTATCTTAGTGCACTTGTATTCATGGCGAGGCGCAGACGCCGTCTGGAGGTGACAGGTTCAATTCCCGGCACGGTAACAATAGCTTTCGATTTTTATGTTGTTTAGTGTGTTCTTCTATCTTTCTACTTCTTTCTATGAGTGCCGTTCACAATACTTTCTGTTACTTGATTAATTCATAATATTTAATGTCCTCAAATGGTTCCCCCCTCTGTTTATTTATAGTAATATTGTGAAGCTTGCTGATACTTTTCGTTTGGTTTTATTTTTTCTCCAGCAGGGACATAAATGAAGGCCATATCTCACTTTTGTGTGTGGCTGTGCTTCTTTATCCGGTGTGATGGTTTACTTCCGTGAGTGTTCTGTCTTTTGTTCTTAGATTGAACCAACAGTCTAAGAACAGAAGACAGGACATGACACCCATGGAAGAAAATCTCCACATTGGATATAAGGAGTACAGCCACAAATAAACCATATACTGTCATACTCAGAAGACAGGAAAATGAACGAGGAAAGTGGAACTAGCAAACGGAGGACGCAAAAATGTTCAAAGTGATAACATCACATAGATGTGGATAACAAGTCAAAACTCTCGGCATAATAAACAATATAAGCCTTAAACCTAGCGAAAATAAAATCACACCAGTTATAAACGAAGCTGTTCTAGGTAGGGTTGAACGTGGTCAGGCTTGTGTGTGTGTTTTCTCCAAACCAGACTAACAACAACATGGAGTAGAAAAGGAGGACAATTAACAGAAGATGACCCTAGAAGAAAGAAAGAAAAGCATCAGCAGAAGAAAAAGAAGAAGGAGAAGAAGAAGAAGAAGAAGAAGAAGAAGAAGAAGAAAGAAGAAGAAGAAGAAGAAGAAGAAAGAAGAAGAAGAAGAAGAAGAAGGAAGAAGAAGAAGAAAAGAAGAAAGAAGAAGAAGAAGAAGAAGAAGAAGAAGAAGAAGAAGAAGAAGAAGAAGAGAGAAGAAGAGAAGAAGAAGAAGAAGAAAGAAGAAGAAGAAGAAGAAGAAGAAAGAAGAAGAAGAAGAAGAAGAAGTAGAATAGACAGAAGCAAAAAAAGGAAAAGATGAAGAAAAAGAAGAAGAAGAAGAAGAAGAAGAAGAAGAAGAAGAAGAAGAAGAAGAAGAAGAAGAAGAAGAAGAAGAAGAAGAAGAAGGAAAACAAGAAGAAGAAAAAAAAGATGGAAAACAAGAAGAAGAAGAAGAAGATGAACATCCGGTATTTATATATTCACGTTGACCTTTGACTTCCAGGATGTTTGCGAGTATTGTCCACAAAGTTCAAGTCCACCCACGCTCCACCTGGGGACACACTTGTACATCCTGGTGACCTACTGACCGCTCTCTATTTTATTGCTCGAGGGTCAATCGAAATCTTGAAGGACGATACAGTCATGGCCATCTTGGGTAAGCACAACAATCGTATTTTGTCTTTGTGTTTTGTTTGCCACACCCGCCTGTTTACCCCCCCCCCCCCCCCCCTTTTTGCCTGAGCTGCCTATGTATACGAAGGATAAATAGCGGATGGCCGAACGGTTAAGAATGCTGGCCACTCACGCAGGAGACCAAGGTTCGAATCCTTTCCAGTTTAAAAAATATTTTGTGGTGTAGCGGCTAGACGCTTACCTGCTAATCGAAAGGTCGTGGGTTCGGGTCTTGCTGGGGCTTGATTTTGTTTCAATGACCTTCTTTCCCATGGTCGACCCAGGCTTGAGTGGGCACATTGTACAGTCCTGGGAAGTAAAGGCGGCGGTGTGATTTTGACTACATTACCCACCGAGTGCCGATTGGTCTATAAAATAAAAGTCTCGTCCTCTGTGCCCATTACGCTGAAGGCTTGGGGAAGGTTCCGTCACTTCTACTTTCACTGTGTTCACAGAGACACGCACCACAAATTACACTCGATAACATAGGGATCGAACATGTCACAAATGTGGAATATTTAGGCGCATTGGTGAACAACACTGGCGAAGAAGTTTGAAAAAAATACTCGCTTTAGCAATGCAGAGACTTCACAGCATGAAGAACCTGCGGTTTAGCACCTGCAAGCAAGTTAAAGTAACAATTTAGAGATCATTCAGAAAATTAAAGATACTTTCCAGAAAAAATACAAACCGCTAGCTATTTTCTTCGACCTGACCAAAGCTCTTGATAAGGTCTGGAAGAAAGGACTCTTGCTAAAACTAGCACACAGTGGGATAAAAGGGCATATGTGTGCCTGGAAAGGAGACTTTTTTTTTTTTTTCAGAGGCTGTGCGAGAGTCAAACAGGAAGAACACCGGAGCAGCCTGGTCAGTTTACAAGAAGTGTACCCTAGGGAGATGTTATATCTCCTACCCTGTTTATTCTTTTGATCAATAACCTCCGAAAACAGCTCACGACTCACATTCACAAGGCCCTACATGCAGATGACCTGGACATATGGACCCAAGCTGAATATATAAGAACACCTGAAACAAAAATGCAGGAAGCAGAAAATACAGTTAAGAAAGGGACAGACTCTTGGGGAGTTACAAAAAAAAAAAAAAAAAAAAAAACAGACCAAAACCGTCTCTTTCCACAGATCAAGTTTATCTGTACCTAACAGGCAACATCCTTCCAAAAGAGGATAACCCCCACACACTTAGGAGTAAAATTCGTCAAAAGACTAACCTGGGGCACCCCGGCATTACAAAGCTCGTTCGCAACGCCCAAGCCACAAACGCGGACATTGAACTATTATGCAAACAAATTAAACAAAATAAAACCTACGACATATCTATAAAAGTAATGTGATGCTTTATGAAGGTTTATTTTGTTCATATTATGTGTCTACCTCATACAGGTAAAGATGATATATTTGGGGAAGACATCAAATGTAGCAGCAGCACACAGATGGGTCAGTCCATGTATTGTGTCCGAGCCCTGTCCTACTGCGACATCAACAAGATCGATCTGCTTGACCTCAGGGAGATCCTGCAGACCTACCCGGAGTTTGCTGAATCGTTCCTCAACAAGTTTCAGGTCACCTTTAATCTGAGGAAGGTACAGTCTTGTATTCATTAGGCTTTGTCTGTCTGTCTGTCTGTCTGTCTGTCTGTCTGTCTGTCTGTCTGTCTGTCTGTCTGTCTGTCTGTCTGTCTGTCTGTCTGTCTGTCTGTCTGTCTGTCTGTATTTATCTTACTGATATGTCGATCTGTCTAGCTTTTCATTTGATCTAATTATTCGTGGATTCCCAATGTGAATGGGGAAGTGGGGGGGGGGGGGGGGGGGGGGGGGGGGGGGGGAGGGGAATGGACAATGCGGCTAACATCATGATGTTTGTCTTTACCTCCCAGGACTACTTGTGGTACCCAATTGAGGCTGGGTAGACCTGGGAGTCATTTTCATTTTAGGAAAACGTCTGGCTCTGTCAAATAAAGTAAAACTCCAATTGACCGTCATTGTCCAGGCCAGGGCTCTGTGTCTTGTCTTAGCAGTACACTGACTCAGAAAGGAGATCATACATCTCCTAATATTGTCCTCACACATATATTATTGTCTGCCTCTTGCCTTCAGATTTTCCCCTCCAGTATGGTTTATCTAAAATTGTTGTCTTTTCACGTGAACGAATTGTTTCAGTTGTCACTTTTTTCTCTTCTAATTGTCTGTATTTTTCCCATTCCCAGTCTATCCAGATCCTTTCTATTTAGTTATATATGTTTCGTTGAAATATTGATTGTTTATGTTTCATTGAAACATTTGGTTGTTTCTGTTTCGTTGAAATATTTGGTTGTTTATGTTCCGTTGAAATACGGCAGATTTGTCTGTTATACTCAAATCTCAGTTCACCTCTCTATTTGTTTGTTCACTTTCCAGGTTTTGGCACTATTCGGCAACGTTATGTATAATACCATCTTATGATTTCCATTTTGAGGTGTTCCTTATCTCTTTAGATAAATTACACATGTGGGTTGGAACCTTATTTGGGGAAAGAAGAGAATAGACTCACTTCTTTCTAAATGTCGTAACAGTCAACTAATTAGGGGTGTTTCCTACAGAGTCGATTGAATCTGCCTGAGAGGCGACGAACCAACAGTCTGCACACAAATCAACCAGAACATAGAACAGATGTTCATGCAAGACTCAAGTTTTTGAACAAGACTGTTCAGTTAATGAACAGTCAGAACTTTCCTCTGGAGTTATCTGGGGAACTCTAAGAAGAAAATCTCTTAAGATATCATAAATTTTTAAATTTCAACAAAACAGATGACGCGATGGTTGGGATTCATGCCCCTGTAACACATCATAATTATCATTTTCATTCAATACAAGGTCAAAGCACCATATGCCTCGGTAGCACCACCAGCCCTGTAACACATTAAACGTTGTTTGGGACTAAGATAATTAATAGCGTGTGCGTTGTTTGTTATGTTTCTTGTATAGGGGACACTGCTTCAGTTGAGAGCCAAGTTGAAGATGGATGATGAAACGTTACGGTTCATTCGTCAAAGAAGACCCCGGCTTCAGTGTAAGAGAAGGACGTTGGATAGTGAATGTAAGTCAGGTGCCTTATACTTCTTTTCTTCATGGTTTCTCTTCTTCGTGCAGTTCTTTTGTTTTCTCGCTGTGTTCTTTGTTCCTATTTCTTTCTTTCCTCGTAGAAAAAAGATAGGACAGTATGTAAATGACCATTTACTTCCTTGCCGTATCGCTCATTCAATGTTAGAAACGTATAATCTTCCAGATCTGCTGGAGTTTTTTTTTTTCTGCTACATATTTGAGCTAAAGTCATATAGTCTGTCTCGCAACACTAAGATCGAAAAATTTAAAACGTTGATAAGATCAGTTGTTTTATATGGCTCTAAAACTTAGAGCTCAGCTAGAAGAAATGAAGCCTTATTACAGGTTTTAGAAAACTGTCTCACGACGAATCTTTGGACCCAGCAAAAATGCAAACAGTGAATGAGAAAAAAATAACGACATTCATAATCTGTTTAAATCACCATTGATAACTGGCATCATGAGAGCTAATAGACTGAAATGGTTGGGGCATATTGAGAGAATGTCAGATAAAAGAGAAGTGAAAACTGTATACACAAGGGAGATGAATGGTCGTAGACCACGATGCAGACCACTAAGGCGATAGAAGGACAATGTCCATGCAGACCTGCAAACACTTGGTGACACTAACTGAAAGAAAGACCAACCATAGATATGATTAGAGGCAGGTGATATCTGCAGCATTGAAACTCAAGAGCTCGAAATGCTGAAGAAAAAGAAGAAGAAGAAGAAGACAAAGAAGAAGAAGATATTCGAGCATCTAATAAAACCAAAAAAAAAAACAAAACAAAAAAAAGGAAAAAGTAATGTTTGTAATGTGTTACCGTACTTTAAAAAAAAGGGGGCGAGGGGGGGGGGGGGGGACTTCGCCTCTAAAACTAAGTGCCCAACTAAACATATGACGGACCTTACTGAATTATAAAGCTAATCCTGTATTCAGTTATAAATATGATCAAGTGGAAGATGAGATAACTGAATTAACATATATGTAAACTTTTGTATTTTCGAAGATATATATATATATATATATACTTGAATAAACGGAGATTTATGACCACAGGAAAACTCTACTTGTCCTGAAACGGGACAAACACTTTTAATACAACAGTCCAGAGAAAAACTCTACTTGTTCTGACAAGGGACAAGTTAATGAATGAGTGCACGCTCCACGAGCACCACCCGCCCCTGCTCTTTAAGTAGTCATAGTAGGGGTTACATGTTGCTCACTCAAGGTCTGACTGTCACTAAGTGCACGTTTAACCTCAGTAGAACCGTACAACGACCGATTAGCACCCGGTGACACAAAGTGCCATCGGGATAAGAACCCCCAAGGTGCAAGTCCGAGTTTTAGAATCCACCTCAAACCCCGTTCAACCGTTAGGTTATATTGGGGCCCCCGACAACAGCTGGGGTAGGATTCTAAAATCCCCCCCCCCCAGCCCGCCCCCCACCAGCCTGCCCCCACTACATCCCATATTGTGGTCACGGTGTTGAATGATAAATAACTATTACTGTCCAAGTCAAAGTCCTTTTGAAAAAAAAAAAAAAGCTCGACCACGTTCAGACTGCTGCTAGCTAGCCTAGGCTGCTAGCAGTCTCCGTCTATATTTGTGGTCTGGGTTATTTGCGTCACTTTCGTGACTGAATACTAGTGTTTGTGCCATTTCTGGGTTTGATAATTTCACCCGAATCAAACCGCTCGTCCTGTTGTCACTGGTGCATGTCTTCCTTCTTCTTTCTTGGTGTTTCCTGTTTGTTCTGTCTCCCTTTGATCTGGCTAGGCGTATCAACTATTACTGGGTTCCAAGGCATCTTATATTCCCTGTTACATGTAAGGGAAATAACTGCGTATTTATCTATTTAGAGCTGGTGTGTAAGAACCATAACTGTTCACTTATTATAAAACACCTCTAATCAGTCCCTTTATAATTCCGCTGGGTGGGAGGCACATTGTAATTCAGTCTTGTCTAAGTGCGTAATAGTAACAGTAATAATTCAGCCCTCAACATGGTACGTCGTGTGTTTTGATGGACATATAGTTGTAGAGGGGAGGTTTCTTTTTTCAAAGTACGGTCACACATTACTTTCTCAAGCAGTAATTTTGGCAAATATTGAAATGTTTAAAAATTGATTGCATGTTTTCAATAAGTCAGCCAGGTGTTGTCTTCACAATAAATATTGGCTGCAATAGATCGCCAACGATCTTTGTTTCTTCTTGTCTTGGTTGTACACTCTCCCGGGCTGCAGTTGGTCCATTTCTTAATATTGTTGTCCCGGGGTAACGTTGTCTACCTCTTGCTCTCTTTTCCTTGACTTTTCCCTCCTTGTTTGGTTTTTAAATCGTTGTTTTTAATGTGGCTAAAGTATTTTGTCTCTCATTTTATTTCAGTAATTCTGCTTTTCTTTCGTAGTAGTGGACTGTTTTTGTTCCAAAGTCACGTAATTCACTTACTGGTAAACTAGGAAATAACCACTTCGCTTGAGTTGGTTGAGAGCCTATGCTCCATTAGGGGTTATAAAGGAAGAAGAAGAAACTAGTAAATAACAGTAGATATCTAACACTCTTTCAAACAGTACTGATTGCAGACTGTTAAACACAAAAGTCCAAAAACTCTACAATTAGTTCAACCATATTGAAAAAAAAACATAACACTCATTTAAAAACCATTCTGTATGGAAATGTCTACGACAATAGAGCAATAGGTAGACAACGATGCAAGTGGGACAACATCAAGAGATGGACTAACAGCAGTCTGGGTGAATTTACTACTAAGATAACTGATAGAGAGTGTTGAAGATTCATAGCATTAAATCTTCTTTGTTGAGACGGCACTAAGTGATTGACTGCCTAATTGATAGCACCACAAGTACCGTTTGTTTTAGTTTATACGCTGTACAGTTAACTTACCGATTCCAATTCCCTTTAATTAAGAAAAAAAAAAAAAAAACAAATTTAAAAACTCAACCACGTTCAACATGCTACTAGCTAGCTGCCAACAGCTTCCGGCTATATTTGTGGTCTTGTTTTTTTTTTTTTTTTTTGGCCACTTTCGTGTCTAAAGTTCTGATAATTGTGCCGTCTCTATGCTTAATGCTTCCTTCCTCCATGTCAGACCACCATCATTTAGAGTTTTAACATTTTGAATATTTTACTTTGACGATAAGTACTAAAACAGTTTTTGGGATTGGATAGACACGAAACGTAAAAATATTCTGCATGTGACCCTAGTTGTCTTATTATGTAAGTAAAGGACCTTTTTTCACGCCTCTAGGCCTTTAGGACATATAGTGCTAGACCTATATATTTATAGACCAATCGGCACAAGATGGGTGATGTGGTCAGCATCACGCCGGCCGCCTTTACTTCCTGGGACTGCACCTGGTACCCACTCAAGGTTGTTACGACCTTGTCATTGACGAGCCAATATCATTTTTGAAAAAAATCCGGCTCCGCCAGGGAGCGAACCCAAGACCCTCCGAACCGCAGGCGAGCGTCTAGCCGCTCCGCCACAGCCACACCGAATCGTTGAGTTTAATTCACATATATTTTTCTTTTCTTCAAGCAACCAGCAGAACCTCTAGGAGAGTGGACAGTATCGACGTCAGAAGACAGTCACGGGATTTACTCACTGGTAAAATAGTAAATGATTGTCAATATCGGTTCAAGTAACTTAATCTTCCCAAAGATAGTTGGTCACTTTTTATTCACACGTTTGTTGGGCTGGTCGACTTCCCTGAGGGTTACGGATGTGTCCCGCTCTGTGTTTGCTTTCTGCGTTGTCTTGCATTTACTTTTTAATTCCGAGAAAGAGAATGCCTGTGACATAGGTTGCAGCACTCTCTAGAAGGTTTGTGTTAGAGCAGTTTCTCTATGTTTTTGGTGTGTTAAAAGCGCTGGCGTGCTAAAATATACAACATGCGATATCAACAATATTGCGGAACACAATGTAACCTCATGGGAAAGTCACAGGGCTCTGGAACTACCAATAAGTAGTGAGGTAGTGTGTATATGGGCGGGCCTAAATGGGGAGACATAATTTCAAGTGTACTAAATACACAAGCCATTATTTCAAGCCTACATTGTTACACAGTTAGCCCATGAAACAATTATGAAACCTAAGGTGTGAGACAGTTGACGGTTCGAGAAACAATTATCATTAAAAGGCGTTCCAGAAGTCCTGACGAACTTTAATCTGTAACTCAGTAATCATTCAGTCTAAGTTGTTGTAACCGTTCAGTCTAAGTTGTTGTAACTGTTCAGCTAAGTTGTTGTAACTGTTCAGTCTAAGTTGTTGTAACCGTTCAGTCTAAGTTGTTGTAACTGTTCAGTTAAGTTGTTGTAACTGTTCAGTCTAAGTTGTTTTAACCGTTCACTCTAACCTGTTGTAACCGTTCAGTCTAAGTTGTTGAAATTTAGCATGCAACTTCTTAATAATAGTATCTTTTAAACCAACATCTAGTTTTCAGTTTGCCTTATTTGCGGTGTATGAAAAGCAACAGACACCGATTCAAAGAGATCAAAGAAATTCCCCGCGTTAAGAAAACAGCAGCATCTGCGCATTTGTAAATTATAAAATCATATAGACATAAGAAACGAAAAAACGGATAAAAGTAAATGTGTGTCGATCTATACAGGCGTTTTGAAGATATCTGTTGGAGTGACAGCTAGAGTTTTTAAACACACTATAGCAACTTCAAGAAAAGAATAGTGCCTTAATGAATAATAACAGTCAAAGGCGTTATTTTAGGACGAGTTCATAAATTAAACTATCTACGTACATGGATAACATCAGAAGGAAGATGCATCACAGAGATAAAGAACAGAATAGGACAGGCTAAGACTGCCTTTTATAAAATAAAGAACATTTTGTGCAGTACATCCATGTCATTAGAGGTTAGATAAAGAATACTCGCAAGCTATATAGAGCCAGTTTTAACATCATTATCATCATCATCATTCCGAAAGAGTACGTGTTTTAGGTCACCAGTTTCTGTTGACTGTCTGATCAGCTGTCTCCACCTTTGGCGGTCAGTTGCGATGGACTTCAGGGTTGCATGTCTGAGGCCTTTCCAATCAGTCAGCTTCTGTCACCAGGTCTTTCTTGGTCTGCCTCTTCTCCTCCACTCCTCTACTGAGCCCTGCAGTATTTTGTTGTTGTTGTTGTTTTTGAGAGGGCGTTAGACCTTATTACATGTCCATTGCATTGCATATTTCGCCTTTTTACTGTAGTTAAAAAAGTTCGTAGTTGCAAATGTATATGGCGAACAAGAGAGTTTTAACATACAGCTGTGAATCCTAGACAATTAATAAACAGGCTCAACAATATCTTGATGCCTCGGAGATAGGGTTTTACAGAATCCTTAGAATTCCTTGGTCAGCTTAAAAGAACGACCCAGATGTTTTGAAAGAGGCGAGTGCTCGAACACAACTTATCACTAAAATCAGAAAGATGCAAGTCATAAATCTCTGGTCCTGTTATGAGGAAAGGGAAACAGGAATATGTTGTGACTACTAGGAAGATCTTTAGAAAGAGAGACAGAGAAAGACAGCAAGAGCAGATTTTTGACAACTTTTTGTTGTGATAAGACGCTTGATAATAATTATAGCAACTCTATAGTTCCACTCTTTATCTTGTCACCATTTATTCACCACCCTACCTACCTACACAGTCATTCACTTATTTACCAATTCATCATTCACTCACTTTACTACCTTGCTAGACATTCGTTGACCTATGTATCTAATCACCACCTACCTATACATTCGTTGAACTATGTATCTAATCACCATCTACCTACTCATACGTTGAACTATGTATCTAATCACAACCTACCTACACATTCGTTGAACTATGTATCTAATCACCACCTACCTATGCATTCGTTGAACTATGTATCTAATCACCACCTACCTACACATTCGTTGAACTATGTATCTAATCACCACCTACCTACACATTCGTTGAACTATGTATCGAATCACCCCCTACCTATGCATTCGTTGAACTATGTATCTAATCACCACCTACCTACACATTCGTTGAACTATGTATCGAATCACCCCCTACCTATACATTCGTTGAACTATGTATCTAATCACCACCTATGTATACATTCGTTGAACTATATATCTAATCACCACCTACTTACATTCGTTGAACTATGTATCTAATCACCACCTACCTACACATTCGTTGAACTATATATCTAATCACCACCTACTTACATTCGTTGAACTATGTATCTAATCACCACCTACCTACACATTCGTTGAACTATGTATCTAATCACCACCTACCTACACATTCGTTGAACTATGTATCTAATCACCACCTACCTATGCATTCGTTGAACTATGTATCTAATCACCACCTACCTACACATTCGTTGAACTATGTATCTAATCACCACCTACCTACACATTCGTTGAACTATATATCTAATCACCACCTACTTACATTCGTTGAACTATGTATCTAATCACCCCCTACTTACACATTCGTTAAATTATGTATCTAATCCCTACCTACCTACACATTCGTTAAACTATTCATCTAATCCCTACCTACCTATACATTCGTTGACCTATGTATCTAATCCCTACCTACCTACACATTCGTTAAACTATGTATCTAATCACCATCTACCTACACATTCGTTGAACTTTTTATTATTTTACCATTCACTGACCGTCCTACCTTTCCTACGTATTCATTCAATTTTTTATTTACTCACTATTCATTCACCAACCGACCTGCTTACACATTCGTTCAACTCTTGATCTCACTGCCGTACCTACCTACACCTCCATTCACATATACCTTCACCTACCTACCTGATCATCCAGTCTCTCTTCTTCCATTCATTTTTTTTTTTAATTTGCGAATACCGGTGGAAAGTTCTGTTTGTTCGCTTGTTGGGACTTTTTGCTTTTACCTGGACCTAGGTTTGCGCGTACACCCGTTTTACTGGCTTGTTTTTGTGCAGTTCCCGTTCGCTGCCTCTCATTCATTCACTCATTCACCATTTATTCATTAGCCCGCCATTCGTTCACCCATCCACAATTCATTCACCGTCCAGGCTACCTGTTTATCCACCCATATCTTCTTCTCTCTGCACCCTCCCTAGGCAACGACGAGGATGAGAGAGTGGGAATCGTTGAGCTCAGCGTCGACAAGGCAACTGAAGACGTCACAGAGGAAGATTTCTCCACAGTCGGTGAGAAGGAAGCAAAGGGCAAAGCACGTGAGTGTCACAAGTTACTACTGCACCTTACTGAATCATCACCAGCATATCCCTGTGTGGGTCTCTGGGCCTATTACAGGGAAAACAGGAATAGACCCACTGCCTCCCCACCAAGCATGTCGTAAGAGTCGACTAATTGGGAGCGTCGTTCAAAGTTGGAGTGCATCAGCATGTGAGCCAAGAAACCAACAGCCTGCACACAAATGATTCTGATCTGTCAAACGGGTACACACGCAAAACTCAGGTTCTAAAACAGGACTGCAGTACAGGAATGGACGAACAACCAGAACTTTCTGTCGGAGTTTGCAGCCGGTGAACGCGAAAAAGAAGAAGATGGCTATCATACAGCAGAGATAAGGCGTGCTTCTAACGGCTGTAACTGGCGCTCACACTTTCCGCTGTCAAAAAAAAAAAAATTCACTAGTTATAATTACTTTCTACTTTTATTTTTTTAATTTTATTTATTTAACGGATCAACATCATGGCACACAGATGCAACCCATAGGTGTTCCTTTCTACCTCTAACTCAAGCCTGAGTCTGAAGAATGTCAGCGCAGTGCACGAACTCCGTTGCACCAGCGAGGATCCTGAAATACTTTGGGTAGATTTGTATCTCCAATTTTGCTTGGGCAGCGCCGTTAGGCTACTCTTTTCGATTTTCTACTGCCAAAGTTTTTTTTACGTGCGCACCATATACACGAGCGTCCGATCTCACTACCCAGAGACCAGGGGGAAATTACTTGAAGTCCACGTAAAAAAATCCCAGCCTTTACGGGGGCTTGAACCCCGGACCTCCAGCACTGGTGGCGGACGTCTTACCTCCAGAACACTCAGCCCCCTTACTGTTGACTATTAATTACAAATACACGACTCGGTTTGCATCTCGAGGGTGGCGAAAATAACCCTTATGTTGAATCTGTAACGTGAGCTAGTACAAATATTCTACCAGCGCACGCACACTCTCAACAGCGAAGCAACGAGGAGAAAAATACGACGTAATATAGTGATTGAAACCCAATGCTGGCTGCGTTGATTTTTATCATGGTATGGGACGTCGCAGGTCGACCCAGCCTAAAATGGGTACCAGGATGGCTGTCCTGGGGTAGTAAAAACGGATGGCGTAATGCTGACCACATTACCCATTTAGTGCCTATTTGTCTGTAAAAATATGGGAGTCTCTTCATTTATGCCCGATGCGCATAAGGAGTGCAATTGGATCTTTACTTACTTTCTTATAAACTGTCCATCATTAATTATCTTGTTATGCCCTTGTATGTGGCATATAGTTGGCAGTATATGCATCTGTTCTGTTCTTTATTTTTTCTTCTTTTTCTTCTTCTTTTTCTTCTTCTTCTTCTTCTTCTTCTTCTTTCTTCTTCTTCTTCTTCTTCTTCTTCTTCTTCTTCTTCTTCTTCTTCTTCTTCTTCTTCTTCTTCTTCTTCTTCTTCTTCTTCTTCTTCTTCTTCTTCTTCTTCTTTCTTCTTCTTCTTCTTCTTCTTCTTCTTCTTCTTCTTCTTCTTCTTCTTCTTCTTCTTCTTCTTCTTCTTCTTCTTCTTCTTCTTCTTCTTCTTCTTCTTCTTCTTCTTTTTCTTCTTTTTCTTCTTCTTCTTTTTCTTCTTTTTCTTCTTTTTCTTCTTCTTCTTCTGTTTCTTCTTCTTCTTTTCTCTACTCCTGGAATGGCTTGCGCTGGCAGTGCATGAAGAGATATCTGGAGCGGCCCCTTCTGTTTACTTCGTATAAAGTACTTTTCAGTGTCTCTGATATTTGTGCGGTCCATGTTCTGCCTGGTCGACCTCTGGGTCTGTTACCGCTGTAAATGTATTACATTGTTGTCTGTGGTGTCGTGTCTGAAGACCATCTAACCTGTGCAATCTCTTGAATATCCTAGATGGAAACCAGTCAAGCACTTTTGACATTTTACTTCAGTGGTGGATGAGCCGCCCAACTCCCACACCCCTCCCCCATGTTTTTCTTTGTGTCGGCGCATACTGTAGCATTACATCCCAGTAAGCGCCATTGGTGTCAGAAAGGTCATTTTGTTTTTACTTACAGTCACCATGTCCCATTTCATAGCCAGCGTAGCTCTGAAGGGAAAGAAATCAACAGAACGTGAAAAGACAGATCGAGAAAAAGACATGGAAAAAGCCAGACTACTTTCAACAACGACATTAACAACGACTGCACCGCCGCTTGCCGCCATCACCACCACTGCTGCTGCCACCACATCGTCATTACCATCACTCCCTAGTAGGTTTTCTGTGTTAGTCTGTTTCCACAAATATATGTATATCTTCAATGTCTTAGCAATAGCTATTAATACGTTTACTTTTGGTTGTGAAACGTGGACCTTAACAGATGCACTTGAAAGAAAGATACGAGCATTAGAAATGCCATGTTTCCGAAAAAAAAAAATTTGCATATCATACAGAGACCACACTACAAACGAAGAGGTTCGACATAAAATTATGCAGCACATTGGCATTTATGAACCTCTTTTAACTACAGTGAAAGGGCGAAAAAAAAAATGCAATGGTATGGACATGTTATAAGATCTAACTGCCTCTCAGAAACAATACTGCAGGCTTCAGTAGAGGGAAAGAGGTGAAGAGGCAGAACAAGAAAGACCTGGTTACAGAACCTGACTGACTGGACAGGCTTCAGGCATGCAACCATGAAGTCCATCGCAACTGACCGCCAGAGGTAAAGAGAGATGATCAGACAGACAGTCAACAGAAACTGGTGACCTAACGACATGTAGTGTTAAAAGATGATGATGATGAATGTCTTGGGAACCAAAGTAGTTTGGCGGCTAGACCGAAGGTCAAGGGTTCAGATCCTAATGACCTTTGGCTCCCACCCAGGTCGATCCAATCTTAAAAAGGTACCAGGCAAAGTCCTTATCACTAATGTAGCGCTGTGGGAAGGAATCAAACGAGTTCTAGTCGACCAAAAAATGAAGCAAAGATGCTGGCGTTGCATAGGACACGCGTTGAGAAAACCTGAGAAAAATATAACTAGAATGTCTCTGCACTGGAACCCACGGCGACATAGAAATAAAAGGAAGACCAAAAAAAAAAAAAAAAAACCACAAAAAAACAACACACACACGGAGAAGGGAGCAAGAGAGTGAAGTTGAAAAGATAGGGAGGTCGTAGGAATAAGTGCAAACGAAAGCGAAGGATAAAACGACTTTGCGTGAGTCACTTGGAAGCCTACGCTCTATTGGGGTTAGAAAGGCAGAAGAAGAAAGTAAAGTCATGGGCAGTAAAGGCGGCTGGTGTGATATTGACCAAGTCTACCACAGACTGCTGATTGGTCTAAGAAATATAGGTCTAGTCCTACGTGTCTATCACGCCTAAAGGAGTGGAAAAGAGTCTTATTACATTACTGTCTTTTTATTTTAATGTTATTAGGTTAACATGTAGTTTTTTTTTTTTTTTTCGTATAAAGTGTTAAATTTTTATATTGTATTAACTTTTTTAATTGTATGCAATTTATTTTTCCTTTTTTTTTTTTTTTTTTTTAAAACCTTTATTATGATTATTATTAATATTTTTTTCAACTTTGTTACTCTGTTAGTTAAATAGCCTTTTATTCTGAGCCTATGACGGCGCATAGGGCAGAGGTCATAGCTTTCCATGTTTGGCTGTTCGTTACCGCCTGTTTTAGCTCTTGGATCTCAATAAAGCCCAGGGTTGAGCCTTCCCTGATGATGGCCTACACATGTCTTTCTTGGTTTCCCCGTTTTCTCCCCCCTCCCCTGTCCAAACGAGGGATCGATGCGGGAGTCTGGTCTTATCCATACTTTAAGTTACCGTTTTAAAAATACAGTATTTGTAACAACTAAAACACTTCCCTGGAGTTTCCCCATTTCCCCCATTTTTAATCGAACCATTCAGTATCCATATGCCCTCCTCGGTAAATCTCACAGCGTGTTGTGGCTGGCGACACCAGTTACGTAGTGGTTTATATTCTCCTTTGGTTTCCTGCATTGTGCTCTTGTCTGGCTTCATCCCTCCTCACTTGCTATTCGGCTTTCCTAATGCAGTTTTCTACATATGGAAGGTAGTCTACGGTTTCGCTGCTTGAACTGCTGAGTTTAATGCTTGGTGCAGCCCTGTGAGCTGTTTTTGTTCATGGATATGCCTTTCATTTACGCAGCGGTTGAGTAGTTGCGTTCAATATGGCCGGTAGACGGTTTACATGTGGGCTGGTGAAATACCTTATGTAGTAATTTTACATGTGGTCTTGCCAGCTTATTGTGTCCAATTACTTCCATCAACGACAAACTGTATTTCTGGTTCCGACTGTTGGCTGTGGCGCCTCTAGCAAATGTCATACGCATTTACTACGTGCGCTTTTTTTCTGGATTGTGCCAGGACTAATTGTTTGTTCAATTGTGACAGTGGGAGACATTTCATTTGATGTTCACTGGCACAGGAACGAAGCAATTATGGGGTGACTCAAATGCAGTGAAACTGAAACCTCGGCTAAGACTCACTTGCTATTCTCGTAGTATGGTCACATTCGCAGATTCACAGTGGTCTCGTGATTCTTGAAAACATATCACTTCCTGCAGAGCATTCAGCACATTAGCCTAGTTCATTGCTCGTACCACCTCTTTCAGCTTTTGGTTATATTCGCATGCCATAGCACGAATATCTTTCTTTGCATTCACCGGCTTTAAACTCCGGCACAACGTTTTGGTTGCTTATCTACCTCAAGACTTCTGTTTTATCCTGGAACTTGAGGGTTACATGCGCATCCGTTTTACAAATTTTTGTTTGTTTTGTTTTTGTATGCAGACCTGTTTTTCCTTGCCTCTCATGCAGATGCATTCCTACTTGAATGTGAAACGACTATGTATGAATGTTACGAATACAAAACTGATTTTGGTCAACCGTTAAAAAACTAAAAACAATTCCCGTGATGGAGAGGTGAGGAGAAGAGGTTAGCTTTGGAAAAGACA